ATACAGTTTTCTCTTTATCATTAACTATGTATTACCATTGTTTCTGATTAATTCATTTTCTATGTTTTGCAAGTCTTTCTTTTCAAGAACCAGATTATTTCTTCACCTTTTTCCTCAACTTTTTGTTAATAAATCCATTTTATGTGCTCTATCCCACCATATTCCTAAGAAGAACTTCTATTCATCTGTTTTTCTTCTTGCACTGGTTGTGTTTTTTGGCATGTAAATTTTCCATGTTACATTTTTTCTTCTAATCCCCATGTCACACTATATTTTTATGTATTTTGTCATCATATTCCTGTATGTGTAGTTGTGTCTCAACTGAGTTTTCTACTTTTAAGAGCATTCTTTCTTGTTCCATGCCTGAATCCCCACCTGTAGTTGTGCTGCCACCTAAATGAAGCCCAGGTGTCACCACTACATACTGCACTTTGATGCATCTGCTAAATGTATTAGTAGCAACCAAGAACATGGAGCATGCTTCAGTCTTCTTTCCTGTTGCCATAGCAATCATCTGGGTGGTTGCTTCTGTGACCTCGTGTGAGAGTTTCCAGAACCCGTAGGCTGAGACCCTTCAGAGTTGCTTTCATCTCCCACCATTGACTTCCCATCCTCTTCCCAGGGAAACTCAGTTCTTTACCATTTTGTCAATTCTATCTGTTCTTGCTGATTCCATATTCTTCAAAAGCTGTGGCCTATAGGGCCAGGGATTTAGCTCAGTGGTTCCACTGCCTGCCTTGCAAGTGCAAGGACCTGAGTTCAACCCCCTGTACCCCCCCCCCAAGAAAAGTTGTGGCCTATAAAACTACCCTTCCATTTTTGGGAAAATTTATCTCATATATTTTTGAAACTATCTTCTCTATCACTTTTAGACTTTTGGCCAGGAAGAAGAAATATCCCAATACTTCTGGATTAATAGTGACAATCACCCTAAATCCAGCTTGGCGAGACAGGTGCACAATGCCTTCCTGAGGTTCTCCATGGGCTCCCTGAGTGTGGTCATGCTGCCTTTGGTGAGTCTCCTGTGTGGATGACAAACTGAAAGGAAGCTTGAGACTTAGCCGCCGTCAGTGTTTACAACCGAGTCAGCATGTCCCATCCAGATTCCAGACAGGTTTATTGTTTAGTGGGCTGGACTCTCACCTATACGAGATTCAATTATAAGGAAAACATAGATTTTGCCAAGTTTAAAACAGTAAAGAATGAAGAAATTGATGAAGTACTGAAAATTATATTTGGTATTTCATTAGAGAAAAAATTTGTGCCCAAATACAGTGATCTAAGCTTTTCTATTTAGATAAGCAGCAGAAATAGTCTTCAATGTACTATACTTAATTAAACATTTTACCATCAAAATTTCAAACATGTGCAAAGTATCGTTAAAGAAAGAAGAGAACTGTATATTGGACATTCAAATCACCAATGATTAACTGATGATATGTTGTATCTCCTTTGCTCTTTCTTTCTTTCCTTTCTTTCTTTCTTTCTTCCTTCCTTCCTTCCTTTCTTTCTTTCTTTCTTTCTTTCTTTCTTTCTTTCTTTCTTTCTTTCTTTTTGAGATAGGGTCTTGCTGTGTAGTTCCAGCTGGTCTTGAACTCACTATGTAACCCAGGCTGGCCTCAAACTGGTGGCAATCCTCCTGTCTCACCCTCCCAAGTGCTACGTCTACCTTTTCGACATAATACCCTTTGACTCATAAAAATTGTCAACATACATAACTGACTTTTTAAAGAAATGTAACCACACAATTTTGCAAAAGTAATCATACTTGAAGTGTTTTAGTGATGGCGTGTTATCTTGTGAACTGAAGGACCCTAGGTAGCAAGACAGACTCCATATTGCTGCTGAATGACCCACCTGCCTGCCCTTTAGATGAAATCAAAAGGAGCAAGCTTAGAAACCTCCTCCCCTCAGAGAGTCTCTTAGAAACAGCAATTAATCAATTATTGTTTTACAAATGTTCTAACAACAGGATGTTCCGCTTCTGTACCTTTTGCTTGCTTTGCTAGTTCTATCCCATAGGGGGGCCTAGAAACTGCTGGCCTCAAAGGTGTATAAAACATGTTTGTCTTCCCCCAGTCAGGGCTCCAGTCAGATGCTTAGCTCGGGTCCTGGCCGGTAATAAACTCCTGTGTGGATTTAATATCGGTCTCTGGTTGGTTCTTTCTAACAGGGTGCAACATGAACCATAATGATTCATGCTAGAAACTTTTCAAATATTGATTTATTTTTTAATTCACAGCAAATTTATACTGGGAGTAAAGTGGATAATGAGACTATTGCTTCCACTAAATTCAGCCAGTCTATATCTAATGTCTAATTTTTAGAAAACACTACCTGTATAACTTAGGATTCAAATACAACAAAGAAAGAGACACAATAACCTAACTGTCCTAAAGACATCACTTAAAGCTGTACCTAACATTTTGATTAGGTGTCAAGACAGAGCTAATAATTTCTCCCGGGATCCTTTTTATGACCACATTTCTTTACATACTATTCTTCTGAATGTAAGAACAATAATATTTGGAATTTTTGGCTTGCAGATTGATGTGATTTATCTCTAAAATAATGATAATTATAAACATGAAATTCACATCATCTAGAAAATTTATGTTCTTTTTTTTTATCCCATTAACTTTATTGGTACATTTTAGGTATTCAATACGGTTACAATCATCATTGGGATCTTGTACCTTTACATGAGTCTCTTGGTTCTTATTTTTTTTTCCCCTTCCCTTGCCCTCCCTTCACCCCCTCCACCCTTCCCTATTTACAAAGACCTTGTTTCCATTTTTTCCCTCTTCTCATATTTTTTCCTTTCCCATTTTTTCCTTCCCCTATCCTTCCCAATTCCCCTGCTCTTTTAGACCTTTTCTTCCTATTACACAATATCAGTTATACATTTTTAAAATTACAATATTAAGATCTAGGGCACATTACCACAGATTTTACAGAATTTAAAAGGATATAGAAAGCATATTACAAAAATCTTTTTTGAAATAAATTTGACAACTAGAAAATTTATGTTCTAAAAGGTATATTAAAATGTTGTTACCTAATATAATGTGGATCAGTATTTTTATTTGGAGACATCATTGGGCTAAGTGTAATCTTTTCATGCTGTTTCTTATTTACCAGTTATATTCATTTACTTCCTTCCATGCTTTTTCATAGAGAAAAACACATAGGTTCTTTGTGTATATTCAGGCTCAAATCCTGGGAAACAGTGAATTATTTGTAAATCCGTGGACATAATTCCTCAGAGTTACAATGAGTATCGTACATAAACAACACAGTGCCAACCCTAGAGTAAACACTAAATAAATATTTGTTGTATAGATTAATGAATAATATCAGTAACTAAGTAATATTTTGTGTAGTAGGTGACCATTTAATGGAGTTCTTCCATCTTGTTTTATTATATTCTGCAATTGTTCCTTCTATCTTTCAATCTTTCCCTCTAGCTTGAAAATCCTAGTCCCACTATCAATGGCCTCCTTCATCCTTGATCAAAGTGACAGGATATGAGATACCTAATATCAAAGAGCATGGGTTATGCTTTAGTATCTGAATCTTTACTTTTTAAAACTCATACTTTCTGCCTGTGGATTACAGTATGAGGACTATAGTTTAGTGTAGATTTATTAATAAATTTTCTCCCTCTTCACCTTGTGGTCATAATAATAAGGTGACATGAGAATCAGAAACTGGAACGGAGCATTGTTCTTTAGAAGAATGGGTTTTGTTGTAGCTTGTGTGTTTTATGTAGTCAAGTAGCAGGTGGGAGATATTAGTGATAAAGGATGTCTTAGGGAGAAGTGGACATAAGACTTGCCCTGAATGGGAAGGAAAGATGAAAGCATGTATCTGTATATGACAATTTACCACTTTCCTTACATTACTGGATTGACTTTTTTTTTTTTAACTCTGCTTCAACTTTTGGCAGTATGAGGTAGTTTTTTGTATACTGGAGGACAAGTTATTTTCTCACATTGGTCTGACCAAGACCATGTTGGTAACAAGAAACATGGAAGAGATCATGGAGTGGTTCAGGGAGAATGAAGCACTCTATAACAGTGACTCAAGAAAAACACATCATACAGTGAGTATCCTAAACTCAGTGAACTGTTGTTTCTTAACTGTATCTACCACATAGAAGAAAAAAGGCAAAGCATGTTGAAAGAGACTCAGAGGTGTAAAATTAGGTTTCAGATTCAAGAGTAGAACCCTGACTATAAAGTTAACTTTTATCAGATGAGTCCTAAATGAGTAAAGAAGATGGATCTCATCAATCTGTATGGCCAGAGATTGTTAAGGTGTCTCTCCATTCTTTGTGTTTATCCAATAGAATTTCTTGAAGTATCCCTAGAGATTAGGATGTGTCATGTCTGCTGTAGTCAAGGAATACGTTTACTACAGGACACATAGTTTATAAGATTATTTTATGATAATTACCAAAAAAGTCAAATCCAAAAGAGCGCAAGAGATTAACTGCATAGTAGGGGCCCATAGAATCCAGCTGAGGGCCTGGATCCCAGCAATATCCCACACAAGTCCAGCTAAAGGCTTAGAGTCCAAGGCAATGTCTCATGCTTGTCCATATTGAGGATCTGCACCTGGAAGGCACAAAGGCCAGTGGTGGAAGCCAGAAAACCTATGCCCGTGAGATGAAGGATTTGTGCCACCAAGATGAGGGATACACAAGGGAGTCAGGAAGTGACGATCTTGGTGAATATCAGAGCTCTCCTGACAAAAACAGCAGCCATTCCCAACAACAGTGAGGCCCTGAGCTCCTCCTCCAAAGAGAACAGCCAAGTTCACACCAGGAAAACCATCCACAGCAAGCTTCTCCTAGCAAATCAACAGGCCAAGATCTTCCCCTCCCGTCCTCTTTTCATGGCTATTGATAACAATCCTCAGGTAGATCCTCCATGCCCAGACCATGCTGATTCAGTTCAGCTGGGTGTTACAAGTTGACCATTAGTTAATCCATTACAATGTCCAACCAGAGCTTCAGGATCAGTAATATAGAAGCCAGAACCTCCAGATGTGTCCGGAAATGGTGGAGTGATGAAGGTATATATTTCAATTTTTTCTGTTTCTATGGTGAAGATGAGTGTAAGTGTTTATTTCCAATTTTGTCTGCAGTAAGCCAGAGAGAGAAACTATGAGAAATGCCTATCCTTACACCTGGGTGAAACCTCTGACTCTTGAGACAAAGCTTCTGGAAGTGGACTCATTTTATAGTCACATCTTTGCTTTCTGTGGTCTAAGTCCACTCAGGAATGCAAACTTATGCAGCCAAAGCACTTCTAGCTACAAAGTTTATAGCAACTTTGTAGAAGCAATATCTGAAATAAACAACCCAATATTACACCACCTGGTATTAGGAAAACAAGAGCTAAGTCTAAAATTAATAGGAGGGAGAAAATAAGAAAGATCAGAGTAGAAACAAATTACATAGACACTACTTACACCATAGAAAAAATAAATGACACTAAGAGATTTTTTTTAAATTAAACCAAATCAATACACTCTTAGGAAGACTACAAACTAAGAAAGAAGTCTCAAATAAATAAAATCATTATTGAAAGTAGATGCACTATGGCTAGTAACATAGAAATACAAAGTATCACCAGACACTATTATGAACTATTATGTTACAACAAGTTGGTTAACCTAGGAAAGAAAAAAAATGGATAAATTTATAGAAACATTTAACCAATACTGAATCATGAACATAGAATATCATAGTAGACTGATATCATTATCACTAATTATGATCCCTTCCAGGCATGGTGGTGCTCGCCTGTAAACCCAGAACTCAGGAGGCTGAGGCAGGAGCATTGCTGTGAGTTTGAGGCCATCTTGGACTACATAGTGAATTCAAGGCCACTTTGAACTAAATAGTAATACTCAGTCTCAAACAACAACAACAACAAAACAACAAAACCTAATGGTCCTAATCAAAGGTAAGCCTAGAGCCAAATGGTTTGATGGCTGAATTCTTAATCATTTAAAGAAGAAATAAAAGCCAATCCTTCTCAAATGCTTCCAAAGTATCGAAGAGGAAGGAATACTCATTACTTCACTTTTCAAGGCAAACATCATCACTGCACCCCATGGGGTGGAGACATTGCTGAGAGGAGCCCCAGAATGATGGCTCTCCAAAACCCACCTGACTCAGTACCAGGCCCTGCTGCTGGATGCCCCATGCATCAAATTCACCTGAGAAACAACCCTCAATCTGGCCACCTTACTCCCGGACTCAAACTTGTACGCATGCTCCTCCATGACTGGACATTCTGACAACTTCCACCACCAACCTCCCAGACCTGACTGATGTTCCCCTACAAAGCCTAGATGAGACCTTCTTCACTGATGGAAACAGCTTCATAGAAGATGGAGTCAGGTATGCAGGGGCGGCCGTAGTCAGTCTAGGAGGACAGGTACACTGGACACAGGCATTAAGCTGGGGGGCTTCAATGCAGAGGGTTGAACTAATAGCCTTAACTCAAGCCCTGTTAGGTTGAGACAAGGCTGTAAACATCTACACTGACAGCTGGTATGCATTAGCCACTGCCCATGTGCATGGCGATATCTACAGGCAGAGAGGGCTATTGACATCAAAAGGAAAAACTATCAAAAATAAAAAGAAATTTTGGCCTTATTGGAGGCAATTTGGGAACCCAGGGTGTTGGCCATTATTCATTACAAAGGCCACCAAAAAGGAGACAGCTTCGAGGCCTGCAGTAACTGAGAGGCTGATGATGCTGCCGGACTAGTGGCCAAAGAACCAGTGGGGCCAACAGACATTCTGCCCATCTGACCCTTTGGCTGCCTGCCAGAAAGGCCCACATATACCCCGGAAGAGGAAGAGGAAAATCAAAAGCGAGGGGATACAAAACTGGACTCAGGCTGGTGGAAAGGGACAAACGAACAAATTTGTCTCCCCCGAGCCCTGGGGTGACTTGTTTATCAGTTACATCACTTAACTTGCCTGGGAGAATCAAAGTTAAAAAGACTAATGAGCTCTAAATTTTCAATCCCAGGACTGACTTCTATGGTCCAGGACATCAGTTCCAGGTGTCAGGTCTGTACACAGTTAAACTCCAAGGCAAGACCAAGGAGCGAAGGTAATCGACTATAGGGAAGAGAGCCAGGGGAACATTGGAAACTTGATTTCACCAAAATAAAATCCAACAATAGGTTCAAATATTTACTGGTATTGGTTGACACCTACTCAGGTTGGGTAGAAGCTTTCCCTACTCGTGGAGAATCAGCCAACATAGTAACTAAAGTTTTGCTCCAGGAGATAGATCCCCGATTTGACATCCCTCCTTACCTGGGGTCCGACAATGGGCCTGCCTTCACGGCACAGATATCCAAATTGTTGGCAAGGCCACTATATATTGATTGGAAGTTACACTGTGCCTATCGCCCACAAAGTTCAGGGCAAGTGGAAAAGATTAATAGGACCCTGAAAGAAACCCTGACTAAATATGTTCTACAGACTGGCGGTAGGTGGCCCAATCTGCTTCCTCTAGCCTTGTTAAGAGTTAGATGTACCCCATATGTTGACAAGTTTATCCCTTTTGAAATCTTGTATGGGAGGCCGCCGCCACTCCTCCTTAAGTTAAACCTTGAACAGATAACAGAGAGTTCTTGTGTCTCTTTACTTCAGTCTCTTCAAGCCTTACAGACTCTTCGGAGTGAGATCCAGGTTACAATACAACAGGCTCGAAAAAAACCCTTTGAGATGTTCCAGACCCACGGTTTCAGGCCGGGAGACCTGGTCCTGATATGCTTGGTTTGCTTGCACCTACGACTTGACTAAATACATTCCCAAATCAGTCTTGGCTACCCAATCTGCCACTTTATTTTGTGTCACCGTGTATGTTGTTCCACAAGTTTTGTATTATAATAAAAAAAGGGGCCCACGAACACCTGGGATTAACCACTGAACACTATAGGAGTAAACGGGCTGTCCTCATTTTAGTGCCCATTCTGGTGGGATTAGGAATAGCTGGGTCAGCGGCTATTGGAACTTCCTCCTTGATCCTTCAGGACACAAATTTTAAAGCCCTAAGCCACCAGGTAGCCAGAGATTTGGGTCACCTGACAGACTCGCTCTCCAGATTAAAAAACAGGTTGACTCCCTAGCTGAGATGGCCCAGCAAAATCAAAGGGGACTTGACCTCCTGTTCATGAAACAAAAAAGGGTTATGTGTAGCCCTAAAAAAACACAAACACAAAAACAAAAACCTGTGGCTTCTATGCTAATGGCTAACTACCCTCGTTTCTACTGTAACAGACCCCCTTAGTTATCTTACTTCTGCTTTTGCTCATGGGACCTTGTATTATAAATGCTCTGACTAAATATGTTAGACAGAGGGTTGATGCAGTTAAACTGATGGTGTTGAGACAAAATTATGAGATTTTAGAAGATGTTTTAGAGGAAGAATCCAAAGAATAAATACAGAAATCAAAGATTTGATTAAGTTACAAGAACCAGTAGGGAATGAAGGATCCTAGTTAGCAAGACCAACTCCATATTGCTGTTGAATGACCCACCTGCCTGCCCTTTAGATGAAATCAAAAGGAGGAAGCTTAGAAACCTCCTCCCCTTAGACAGTCTCTTAGAAACAATAATTACAAATGTTTTAATGACAGGACGTTCCACTTCTGTATCTTTTGCTTGCTTTGCTAGTTCTATCCGATAGAGGGGCCTACAAACTGTTGGCCTCAAAGGTGTATAAAATATGTTAATCTCCCCCCAGTTGGGGCTTGAGTCCGATGCTCGGCTTGGGTCCTAGATGGTAATAAACTCCTGTGTGGATTTAATATCGGTCTCTGCTTTGTTCTTTCCCAATGGGTGTAACACCCATACCAAACTGCCCCAAGAGTGTTTCCACAATACAGCAATATTCACGGGTTTATGTCCACTTATGTTTTTTTTTTTTTTTGGTACTGGGGATTGAACTCTGAACCTTGTGCTTGTGAAGCAGGTGGCAGAACCACTGAGCTAAATCCCTGGCCCAAGTCCACTTATCTTGTGATCAGGTCCAGTAGCAAATGAGGTTTCTTTCATGCTGTTTTTGAACCTAACACTTTGAGTATCATTATCCTTGGTCATAGGCTTTGAGCACGATTGGAACAAGTTGCTTGTCCCTCATTTACCTCAAATACAGAGTGAAATAAGCAGAAAATTCCCACCATAGATACTTCCACTCAAAATGGCTGAACAGCGGTCACCTAACAGTAATCAATTGCCGGTCCACAACTGTTCTGAAGCCCAGCTGAGCCCCTGTGACCAATTCAATTTTTAGGGCTCAGTTGTGTTTCCTGGGAATTGTTTCTATGGCTCTTGCCTCAGTTCTCTGTCTTTCTGCACTCACCACATGTCCTCTCTCTTATTTCCATAGTGAGTGCAAATAATAACACAACCTATTGCCTAATGAGGAGCTTACAATTTCTCTAATGATACTTCTCTAGGGTAAAGGCAATTCTAACTATAGCCTTCCTAAAAGACAGCAAGATACCCTGGACATTGGGACATGAAATGTAGTTTGATAACTATCAGAGAAGTATAAATTTGTGCGACAAAATGTGCAAACCTATTAAATAATGAGACAGTATTTTTTTCAGATGCACTGTCCTGACTTTGGTGTTCTGTAAAGAGGATCATCTTTAGCTTGTGGCTGTAACCATAAGGTTAAGTGAGAAAGAGGCTGTAATGGAAAAATGGTAGCCAAGAGGATAAGATTACTTGGGGGTAGGAGAGCTAGCTATACCACAAGAACAGTCAGAGGCTACTGTGCAGGTAGTTTATTTGGGAGATGGTATCAGTAAACAAGGAAGGGTATGGGCAGGAAAAGTAAGACAGCAAAGCACAAAAATTAATATGAAAGTTCATTAAGTTTGGGGCTGTTGGCAAATTGCCTCAGTGACACTAGAATGTACAAAGGAACATAAATGAATGACTTCCAGAATTATCTTCCCAAGCAAGAGGCGCAAAAACACTTATCCATTGATTCCATTTACCTTTGCCTTTCTCGGGAAGGTGGTTTCTCCAAAGAGGGGACTGGAAGGACTAACAGTGAGATATCCCTTGCTTTCCCAGCTTCCGAAAGTAAATACAAAAGACTGCTATCTCTATGTAGGACAGATTCTATTTGGGGTTTTTTTCCATGTTTTTTTTTTCATTTTACCATGATTTAGAGAAATGCAGCATTGAAAAGCAAATAACTCTCGCTGAGAAATTGGCAAAGGCTGCCTCTCAGCAGCAACATGACTTGGTTGGTGCCACTACAAAAAAGTGACAGAGAGAAGACTGTTGGCGTGGGTTCCTTGGTTCCAGATGAAGAAGCTAGGGAGGGGGGATGCAGTAGGCCAAAGCATAGGCCAGATGCCAGGAGGCAGGAATCACAGCATCTTCCCAGCAGCACTGTCCCAGCAGAAAACTGCAGTATCTTCCTCGGAGTTCCAAGGGGTCAGCACTATGATTTGTTCCACTGCCCTCATGCCACCCTCCTTCTCAACCCAGCCACAGTATACAGAGACTCCTCAAGCACTATTTTGTCTATACCACTCAACTATGTGTTTCTGTAGGAAAAAAAAATATCTAGGTGTTTAATAAATGTAGCTATTTGGCACTGGATACACAAAACTCTAATTCTAGGTGTGTTAATTTCTCCTCATAGTTTACTGCACAGACCCATTCCCCCCTTCTGGAATTGGTCACGCTGGTCATAGATAATTTCAGTTGCTACTACGAGAGACTATTGACCAACACACTCTACAAGGGAAAGGATGTTGTACAGCCCCCACGGGGTACCAGAAGAAACAACCTCTCTCTGGCAATGTCACTGTATTCTCATAGTCAGATTTCATTCCCAAGTGAAGTCACACCTCTGTGTTGCCTTTTCAGTGGGATTTGGAATATATTAACAAATCTTTCCCTTTTTAAAAGATTCAATCTCTTATTTTGTTACTCAGCCAGACAAGACTTGAACAGGTGTGGATACTCGGCTATTGTTATTCTCTGTGTTACTGACTCTGGTTATATTTGCTAGTTCTCCACCTGAAAACTTCTCAGCCCATGGGCAAGGAAGCCACATATGTGCTGGGCATGTTGACAGTCCTTTCCCACACTCGAGGGGAATCAGGGGCAGGTATCAAAACCATGGCATGTGGATGCTCTGGAAACTCTTATCTAACCACTAGGAAACCATTCATTCTCCATCAAAAACCAACAAAAACCTAAGCAATTTGGCTCAGAGGACCACTGAACCAGATGGACTTCAGATGCACCTTTGATGTTCTTTCTCCCTAGCAATACATTCCTCCAGAAATACATTCACTCTTTTTCCTCCTTAATCTTTGACAAGCATAAACTTGATGCATTTTCCTCCTTCCCTCCAGAAAGTTCTCAAAAAAAGGTGTCATTTCATGCCCACTTGTTTTGTCATGGGTCTGCAGAGTCAGAAAAAATTGACCATATCTCTAATAATGGGTTAAGTGAAATTACTGACATTACTACTATTTCTGTGACAAATTACAAAATATGTTTCTTTATCCACATTGTGTAGATGAAAATACTGAGACTCAGACTAAATAACTTGCCCAAAGAAAAAGTGATAATAAATATCATGGTCAGTTAACATCGGTTAGTGGTCTGGGCTGAATTGTGTCTGCCCAAAACTTGGGCAGAATTATGTCTCCCAAAAATTATGTCTATTTGCTCATGGGGTCTTCAAAGAGGTGAATAAGTTAAAGTGAAGTTGTTAGGATAGGACTTAATTCAAAATAACTATTGCTTTTTAAGAAGGGAAATTTGGTTAACAAATAAAATTGACACCAGGGGTGTACATGCACTATGGGAAGACTATGTAAGAAGACAGCCAAGGGGGCATCCAACTGCTGACACCTTGATCTTGGACTTTAGCCTCTGTAAGTGTGATAACATAAATTTCTGTTATGTAAGCCCCTAGTCTGTCATTACTTTTTAGGGCAGCTTTAGTAAATCAAACTACATAGTTGGGAGCTGTGTTGAGCTGCTAGTAACAGAACCACCAACAGTAGCTTAAACTAGGCATTGACAATACCACATGGGACAAATTCAGACAGTGCCTATTTTGGTAAATAATTTTTTGTTAGAGCATGGGCTCCACTGATTATATATTATTTGTGGCTGATTTTGTTCTGTATGTAGAATTTAGCAATTAGTAAATATTATATGGCCCCCAAAGCCCAAATCATTTTCTATATTGCTATTGAAAAACAATTTATGCTAAAGAATTTACTCTACTTACTACATGGCTCCTTATATAAGCAGTTACTGATTGATGTTTTGGACAACCAGGGGGTTATGGCTTCACATACAAGTCCAGAATCTGGAAATTCAGCATTGGTAGGGCTCCTCTACCAAGGTGATCAGCACCTACCTCTGAGTCCCTTCTGTCTGTTTGTTCCAAGGTCCTTTGAGGATTGTTTTATATGTTGTATTCTCAAGATATAACGTGTCTGCTGGACCTCTGTCCATCATACTTGCAATCTGAGAAGGAGAAGAAAAGAGCAAGGCATAGAAAGAGGCTCTTCCTAGATGAGTCACATCTAGACTTCTAGCATTTTAAACAGCTGAAAAAGAAGGCTTGATGTCCTGATGTAAGTCACAGAAAGCTTACAGTGAAGGGGAATAAGAGAATGAGATTATGAAGGTCAAGACCTAGCATGGAGGGGACATGAGGGGAAATAAGCAGACAAGATCTCCAGAGTTTTCAGTGTCTCATTATCCTTCCACTGAGGCCCCATGAGAGAGGGAAGTTTAATGAGCCATGTGAGGCAGGGAATAGCTTGCCAGGAAAGGGACTCAGTTTAGTTTTTGGCAAAGAACAAAAAGGTAGGTGCAATAACAGGATACGTATTTTGAACACAAGTAATTCAAACAAATCAGCCAAACGGTCACTGAACATTGGTTGCTGGCCATCAGTAGCCTGTCCTAGCAGGTAGTTTTTCAGGCAGCTTGAGAAATTAAAGTAGCTCAAAAGATAAAACCCATTTAAAAAGGACCGACACACTGGAGATCATTGCAACACGTGGCTCTGGGCTGTTCAGGTCCATTTCCATCCCTCTGCCTCCTTAGTCACCACCTACCCTGACAGCAATGCAGGGAGCCACTTGGCTGTGTAGCTCCTAGCAAGCTTCTGGGCACTGTAGCTATTGGTGGATGGAAATTCACTTGGGGAGGAAACCAGTGGTCACAGTGGATTTGAAAGGCACCAGGTATGAAGTAATTTCTTGCCTGATTCTATCTTCTTGGCAATAATAAGATGGATTTTCCTCTACAGACATTCCTGCTGCAGGAAGAGCCTAACAATGAATGCTCTCATTTGTTGTCTCTTAGTTGCATTTATATAACAAATGGTAGAAAGTACAAGGGGAGGGATTATAGGCATAACTGGCCCCAACACCTATATTTTGCAAATTAAGAAAGAGACCTTCATGTTCTGGAATTGCAAAGTCACATCCACAATAGAGTTACTGAGAGACTTTGTCATTCTCTTCTTTCCCCCAGCTAAGGTCATAGCCAGCAAACAGATTCTATCCCTGAGCAAGTGGAGGAATAAATGAACTCTGTGCTATTACCAATATGCAGGGTGTGGTTGGTTAGCCAGGGGCTACCCACAGGGTTTTCCATGGCAACCCTATTGGGAAAGGTACACCAAAGACTCAGGACAACTAGCTGGGGTGGCTGATGTGTTCCCAGCTGAAAAGCTCTTAGCAGCCCCTGTGTGGTAAGCAAAGACAACTCATCTAAGAGTTCCGACCTCCCATTGTAGGCAGAGTCACCAGTGCACCTGAAAATAGTGGTGAATACAAAATATTAACCTACAGGAGCAGAGGGTCCAACCAAGTAGAGCAAGCTCATAGTTTGAACACTAAGGATTGTGGTATAAATGATCCTGTGGAAGAAAGAAAAAAAGGAAGAAACAAGTGAGTCATTTGAATTGCTCCGCTCCCACTTCTGTCACAGAAACTATAAGCTTCTAAGAAACTGGGACATGGATGGAGATCAGAAGAGTGTATCTGGCTGATGCAAAGTCAGAAGCTAGAAGGCTGGCAAATGTAAGGAACAGCAAACGAACGGCTACTGAAACTCAACCCTCAATAGAGCACTAATTCCTAGTAATCATTCCACAGACTATGAATGTATGCAAAGCTGCTGTTTGAGGCGCTGTGTAAGATGAAAATATAAGACACAGCCTAGACTTCTAGTCCTGGGAGGAATCTGATATGGAATCATCTAACCTTGAGCCATCTCAAAACATGATCCTTTTAGTCCACGTTGTAAACCATGTTTTATTCCATCTCCTGGCAAAGAGGAAAATGGATTAATTCTGATTGATCCTTCAGAGAATTCTTTACCGGGAGGTGACATTTGAGCTTGTAGGATTTCTCAGTTTAAGATATATGAAAATATATGAAATCTTCTCCACTCTACTGTTAAAAACAGACTCCTATAACTTCCCTGAAGACTATCCCCACACTGTATAAAACCCCTCCAGTCCTTCTCTCTGGCCACCCCAGTTCTTTTCCCATTCCTGATGTTAATTTGTCCTTTTAAGATTCCAAGAAAGGCAGCGTAGACCTAGAGAAATTTAAATAAGTTTACAATCATTTCCATATTCCTGTAAAAGTGCTTCCTTTCTGTGAAACCTTGTCCAAGTTTTCAAGACAGAAATAATGCCTCCTTCCTTTGTGTTTCATTTGCACTTAGTATGCATGGCTCTGTCAAAAGCTGTCCTGGTGTGTGAATTATTTGCTTGCTTTAATTAATATCCAATTCATTCATGAATGATTTAGTTGATCAGCACTTTTACCAACCATCTAGCACTATGTTCCATTGAGAAATATAAAGATGAACACATTTTTGTTAAATGAATACATAATCGAGTATGTTAAAATCATCCAATAGTCTATTTGTCAACAAAAAAGGAATGGAATATCCTAGCTACATAATGAATTTCAAAACATTATGGTAAGTGGAATAAAGTAAATGCAAAACATCACATACTATGTGATTCCATATATATGAACTCTAGAAATGCCAAATCTATGGAGAACTAAAGTTCTATATGGCTGGGGATAAGAAAAGAGAGTATAGGCTGGTAATCACGGTGGTTGTGTCTCAGGCAGCTGCAACAGTAATTTCAGGGTGGCGGTGGCTACAGCAGGACCTGCAACAGCCCAGCGGTTTTCCCAGAGCTTCTCAGATAGTCTGATCGACGAGGACCCCCAGGCGGCATTAGAGGAGCTGACTAAGGCTTTGGAGGAGAAACCAGATGATGCACAGTATTACTGTCAAAGAGTTTACTGTCACTTTCTCCTTGGGAATTACTGTGATGGTGTTACTGATGCAAAAACTTCTCTCAAACTCAACCCCAATAATTCCACTGCTATGCTGAGAAAAGGGATATGTGAATATCATGAAAAAAACTATGCTGCTGCTCTAGAAACTTTTACAGAAGGTCAGAAATTAGATAGTGTAGATGCCAATTTTATTGTCTGGATTAAAAGATGCCAAGAAGCACAAAATGGATCAGAATCTGAGGTGAGGACTCAATCAAAAATCAAGTATGACTGGTATCAAACAGAATCTCAAGTAATCATAACACTTATGATTAAGAAGATTAAGAATGTTCAGAAGAATGATGTAAATGTGGAATTTTCAGAAAAAGAGTTGTCTGCTTTGGTGAAACTTCCTTCTGGAAAGGATTACAATTTGAAACTGAGACTGCTTCATCCTATGATATCAGAACAGAGCACATTTAAAGTGCTTTCAACAAAGATTGAAATTAAAATGAAAAAGCCAGAGGCTGTGAGATGGGAAAAGCTAGAGGGAGAAGGAGATGTGCCTATGTCAAAACAGTTCATAGCAGATGTAAAGAACCTCTATCCATCGTCATCTCATTATACAAGGAATTTGATAAATTGGTTGGTGAGATCAAAGAAGAAAAGAATGAGAAGTTGGAGGGAGATGCAGCATTAAACGAGTTATTTCAGCAGATCTATTCAGATGGCTCTGATGAAGTCAAACGGACCATGAACAAATCATTTGTAAGCACATAAACTTTATTTTTAATTATGGGAGTGAATTTCAGATGTTTAAAGAAATAGTAAGTAGGTAGTTGAGAGACTTTTTTTTTTGAGACAGGGTCTTACTGTGTAGTTCACGCTGGCCTTGAACTCACTACGTAGCCCAGGCTGGCCTCAAACTTGCCTCAATCCTCCAACTTCAGCCTCCTAAGTACTGGGATTACAGGCATGCACCACCACATCCGGCTAGCTGAGAGGCCTTTTTGAAAGGGCTTTTGAACAGTTTTTTCTTGCTGTAAACTTAGAGTAATTGCTGAAAAAGTTGGAAATACTTGACTGTAATTCCAGCACTCTGGAGGATCACATGTTTGAGCCCAGCCTGGGTGACACTAATAAGGCCCTGTCTCAAAATAAAAAGGTCTAGGGATGCAGCTCAGTGCCATGGTCTTGAATTCAATCCCCCGTACTGCCCCTCTACCCCCAAAAGTTTTGAAAATTCAGTGAAAAAAATAAGAGACAAGTGGTTTATTCTGATACATAATATTTTAATTAATGAGTTTGAAGTTGGAAGGCTAAGAAATGTCAGTGTTACAGTGACTGAAAGGGAATTATCTTTGTTGAATCTATCACAGTAGCTGAATGAGTTTCTGTTGTTTACCTTCTAGAATGATTTCCCCAACTGTATTTGGCTAATAGAAGGTGTGCATTAATTAGTCATTTGTTTAATAATTTCTCTGCTGGTAAGGAAAATTCCGTCTTGCTGGGGTGGGATGATTACTACCTGAATTAGACCTCGAGCTCTGAGTTTTTCATGACAACTCATCACTGTATAACTTTGTAGATTATTTGATGTAGTCATTTGACTTTTACCAGTAAAAAATACATCTACTCAGTTATCCCAAAAGGAAAGTCAGACTTACTGTTGACTTTTGAAAGTGTGCTAACAAAATAACAATGTGTTAAATCAAAGATGCATTACAGAATCTGGATTAATTTCCATGCAGAAACTTTGATGATTGTAGGTGAACTGTATATACCCATAAAGCAAGATATGTGTTTGGAAACATTGACCTTAAACATACCATGGACTGTTTTGTGGGAAAGCAAAAGAAACAAAATAGCACTGTTTTCTATGATGTCCCAGTCTAATTGGGACAAGACCAACATACACAAAAATAGGGAGAAATGCTGAATTGTACTACACTCTAAAGGGGGGAAAGTAGTGTCATCAATGAATACAACCTGATTATAAATTAAATTCACTTCTTTCAGTTTATAACTAAGGGCCCTCTGAAGGATGTTTTATTTTATAGCATTGCCACATTTAATTCAGGCATTTTTATTTGATGCCTACCATGTACTGTACCACATGCTTAGATCTAAGATATTAATACATTCAGCTCCTTATCCTTGGGTTCTATATTCACAGATTCAACCAACTGTGGATTTAAAATATTAGGGGAAAAAATCGAATCTGTACTGAATAGACAAAACAGATATTTTTCTTGTCATTGCCTGAATAATATAATAATTAAATAACATTTACATTGTATTAGGTATTATACATAATCTAGAGATGACAACAGTATATGGGAGGATAAGTCATAGGTTATATATGCAAATACTATACCATTTAATGTGAGGAACTTAGAGCACTTGCAGATTTTGGTATGGGAAGGTGGTACCTAGAACCAATCCTCCATGAATATCAAGGGATTATTGTATTAGGAAAATATATTCCTTTCTCTTGAAGAGCTCTCTGCTTTAGTTCCCATCAAAGATAGCAAGTGGATACAGGAAGGTAAACCCTTAAATTGCAACAGTGCAGTGTTATACATATCATATTGATAGTAATTATGCTTACACACAAGACAGACACCAAAGGAGTAGAGTTCTGATTTGAGAGTCAACGAAGGCTACTGAAATATGCTGACTTTTCATGTTTGGAGAATAAGGAATAAAAAGAACTAGGATAAGAGGATCCCCTAAAAAGGAACCCATGTAGGAGTTTGGTAGAGGACTCGGGATTACATTGAAATAGTGTAAGAGAAGGGTATGTAATGTTTTGTATTGGGCAGTAACACAGCTGATTATTTTTAAATGTTTAGATTCTAGTAATTCACACTGTTCTTTGTTATAATCTAAGTCAGTGAGCTTTTATTGCATCAAGATGACAAATGTCCAGAAGTATTTTGTTTTTCAGTATATAGTTATGGGTCACTTAAAAATGGGACATGTTTTGAGAAATGAATGCATCATTGGATGATTTTCACTGTTAGGTAACACTAAGTGTATTTATACAACCTAGATGGTAGAGGTCAATTGCCTGATGTAACCTCCTTTTTTTTGTTAATTGTGTTGTGGGAACTGAGCCTAGGACATTGTATATAAGGCTGCTACATGTGTAATATGTTGTATTTTTTATAGTAAACTTTTTTAAAGTAGAGGAGTAAAAAAAAAAAGAAAAGAGAGTATCTTTTGGGCAGATGGAAACAGTCTAGAATTGGATTGTTGTGATGGCTGAACAATTGTGAAAAGGATTATTATTGAACTGTACAATGAAAACAATTGATCACTATTGTGAAAATAGCATTTTCCCCAACAAGGATAGATAATAGATGGATAGATAGACAGACAGATAGACAGGCAGACAGACAGACAGATAGGCAGACAGATGTAAATAGATACAGATGTTTGGTCAAATTGACTTAACTTAGTTTTGAACATCTAGCAAGGCCTTCAGATGTAAAAGATTTACACATAAACCAATTCTTTCCAAAATGTTACCTGGTTACTTACTAGTCATTTAGTTGAAAGGCCAGGAAGATTTTAGTACTGAAGAAAAGCCAAAAACCAACTAAGAAATCACAGAATCAATTGTATCCTACATATTTTAACATTGCTCATACCAACATAAAGTCTGTCTGATAAGGTGGTGAATAAAGGGAACCACATTGATGTGTGCTTAAAAAGTGTGACTTGAATGACTTCACACATGAGGCTGCCTTGTCTGAGACAGAGAAGTGTGATATTTGAGTAACATAACTGACAAGCTAATCAGTACTTAGAAACTTTAGCTCTCTCCTTATGCTGGAACTTCTCTGGGTCTAAGGCATGAAGTAGATGAACGCCTTAACTCTGAGAAAACAATGACCAAAGAAAAAGTAGATGTCACTTTCAGGTTGCTTTGAGCGCAAGTAGCAAACAGAGACAAAAGACTATCTCCTCCTCTAACCCAGACCTTGACACTAGGTAAAACTTTGAAATTGAGGCACAAGAAGAGAGGAAACTAAGTTCCAAGAATTATCAGCCTTCATACGCCACGAGGTAGGCGCAAAGTGATTGTGAGAGCAGAAGTTTGCACTTACAGCAACAATTGCAGAGAAGATATTAAAACTAGTGCTATGTTTTGTAGGAGCTGGTTCTAAGCAAGCAATATTGATTTTTTTAAAAAAAACTGAACTCTAACTCAAACAGAAAACAACTAAGCCCTTCGATCTATCTGCTCTCCCAGCACCTCACTGGACCTAATTAAACAATCTCCTTCACCAATAAACAGCAGAACTTGTCTTAAACTTGAGTGATTATTTGGCCCCTGGTAAATAGAATGAGTCCAAATCTTATTCATACCTAGTGCGACACTCTGCTTTCTAGCCAGAAAAGTTTCTTTCTTCCTCCAGGGAACCATTTTGTAAACTCTTCACCCATGTGAGTCCCTTCATCTGGACAGTACATTAGCTCAGTGCATTTTCTTTTTCAGTCCTTGGATTCCATCTTTATAGAAAGTAAAGAAATGGTCCATGCTTGCAACCTGGAGATTGGATCTGAGACTCATCGCATTCATTGCACAGCCCACCCAGCCACGACCTGGCTATGGCTATGGTGACCAAATGCCCAGCCGAAACCCAGATGTCAAGATGTAGCAAACATGCTCTGGTGGGAAGAACTGCTGTCATTCCTAAATCATGACCCTTGAGATGCAGACCTCCCTTGGGGTAGCTTTATCCTTAGCTCTGAGATAAACCCTCATATGGGCCTTGCAATTCCGCAGATGTGAGGCAAAGCCATCTTCAGAGTGCAGAGATTTGAGCAACAGTAGCTCCCTGAGCAGAATGACTTTGGGATGACCATGTGATCAAGGGGTCCCTCAGAGGAACTCCAACACTCTCTTGGGTGAGAAGCAAAGATCAACAGCTCATGGATTTTTCTGTGAATGCCATGGCTTTGGGGTCTAAGTGACCACATGAGGCCCTGAATTCAGGGCAAGCCTTACTCTCTGCCTCCTCAAGAGCACTGATCAGATAACCCAGTACTAGCAGCTATTTTAATGACAGGTTCCTGTTACATTGTCTCACTGCTTCTATTAATTTGCTAGAGCCAAACATCCCATACTGAATGACTAAAAGAACAGGACTTTATTTTCATGCAGTTCTGGAGGACAGAAGTCTAGGGTCAGGGTGCTGGTGGGTTTGACTTCTCCTAAGCCTCTCTCCTTGGCTGGCCTAGGTCACTTTCTCACTGCATCCTCATCTTATTACTCTTGGTCTTTGTGTTGTTTGTGTCCTAATCTCTTCTTCTAATGATACAAATCATATTGAATTATGACCCACTGACATTTCACAATTTTATTTTAGTTATCTATGTAAAGGCCTTATCTCCCACTATAGTTACATTCTGAGGTGATATTACTAGAGACCCCTGAAGTTAGGTCCCAGTTTCCTGCCCAGTAGACAACACATGGCTGAGAAATAAGACTAAAAGAAAGAACCAAGAAAGAGACAGAGGGGTGCCAGGATGACCAATGGTGGTGCAACTGACAAAGGCACTGGCCCATTCCAGGCCCTGACTTTTATTGGCAATCAATTGGAGTAAAGGCAAGCTATATGCATTTTCTATAGAAATTAATGTAAACAAGGCTCATAAAGGACAAGACAAAGCATTCTTGAATTAGGAACAGACTGGACAAGATATATGGTTGTACTTAGAGCTTTGTCCTTCTAGTGAGAAGGTTTTAGTTGTGAGAATGTAATTTGGGTGTGAGTTACTCTGACTTTGGCCCATAGACTTCAGCCAGATTCACTTTTCAAAACAAGCCAGTTGGGGGGTTAACTCTTTACAGCCTGCTTTGGGCATAATCAATATTACAGTCCTCTGCATAATATATGTTAGGACTTTGCTGTATGGATTTGACAGGGACACACTTCAGCCCATAACCTTCTGCCTTCTGGCCCCAATTCATGTTCTTTTATGTAAAATGAATCCGCTTTATTTTAACATCCACAAAAATCTTAACATATGCTAACATCAAATTGAAGTCCAAAAATCTCATCTAAATATCATCTAAATTAGGTATAAGTGAGACGAGGTATGATTCATTCTGAGGCAAAATTCCTCTCCAGCTGTAAACCTGTAAAGCCAGACAAGTTGTCGGCTTCCAGCGTCCGTCCAATCCTGGGAGAAGCATAGAGTAGACATTCCCATTACAAAAGAGAGAATTGAAAAAGAAGCAGTTCCGAAACAATAGTAAATTCCACTAGCTTTTAAACCCCAAGAATGACTTTCTTAGGCTCCATTCTCTGTCTTTCAGGCTGTCTAGGACAGCGTCCCCCAACTCTCGGTCCAACAGAGTGATGGTCCCCCTCCCTTAACCTGGAGACCACAACCCGGCCCTCTGACACCAAGAAAGTGGCTCTGGAACCAAGTAGGAGAGAACTCCACATTCTGGAATGGTGGAAGAGACAACTCTGCCCTCTCACCCTGTGTCCCTTGGCCTCATCATGGCTCTTGTTGCCTTGCCAGTCTCTGAGTCAGCTCTGGGGCCATTCCACTCTTCACTTGAAAGGTAATCCATATCAGTTATCAGACAACATCTTGACCCATTTGTCGAAATCCCAAAGGTCAGTCAAATTTCTTTCATTTCATCTTGTCCTTTACCTGATCAGGTCACACTGGCAGCCTTTCTGCTGAGATGGTCGACTGGGTCTACGAGTCATGCTCATAAATGCTTTATCAAATAATTTCATAGCCACACTCTTCATGGTCTTTCCAGAACACGCTTTCTCTCATTTTTCAACAGAGACAGGCTGAGAACTTTTCAAGTCTTTCACAATTCTTTCTTCTCTCCATATCATCTCACATTATGCTATAAGTGGGACAGATAAAACAGACTTGTCTTCAACATTTAGCTTGAAATATACTCAAAAGAATATTGATGTTCATCACACACAAATTCTACCTTCTAAAAATCACTAGAATACAATTCATCCAGTTTCTTTTCCAGTACATGAAAAGGATTGGTTTTCCTCTATTTCCTAAGATCTTGCCCAAAGCAGCTTTGTAGCCTGTATTTCTACCAACAATCTCTTTCAGGACAACTAAGCTTTTCCTAACATGCACATCAAAATTCTTCTAATTTCTGCTCACCGGTCACGCCCAAATCCACTTCATCTTTTTTAGGTTTTGGTCCTTAGGACGTTAATATACAAGGATAGAGAAGATGGAATTCACCCCATCGCTGTTGCTAAATTACAGAAAAATAGCTCATGTCTTGAGATTAATTTTAATTTAGTTACTTTAATAAATTCACTGACTGCCTCAAATGTTACCAGTGAATTATAGGTGTTTTGTGAATATAAATCAAATCTGCAGCATGTGAAACTATTTAGATCCTCTATTCCAATACTCAACATTTTCTCAGAATTATTCTAACTACCTTACATATATTAACTCATTAATACTCCTCCCCCAAAACTATTAGAATTTCAACAAGATGTGAGACGTTTATGTGAAAATAATTAAATTTTTGTTTTGTTTTGTTTGGTACCGGGGATAGAACTTGGGTCCTTGTGCTTGTGCGGCAGGTGGCAAAACCACCGAGCTAAATCCCTGGCCCAATAATTACATTTTTTAAAACTACTAGGTGAATGCTATTATTATCTCTATATGTTATATATGAGGAAAGCATTGCCCCGAGAGGGCAAGCACCCTAACGAAGCTCACAGTGAGGATAGAGGTGGGATTCTAGCACACTTACTATAGTGTATACACAATCTATGCATTCCTACTTCTTCTTTCTATTTTTGTCTTTTCATGAACTGTACCATCCACACCTCAATGAAAGCTGTGTCCCAAGTGATCCAAGAAATTGCCAGCAGTCCACCCAGACCAAGCTAAGGCTATGTAAAGGTGGCTCGGAGTATCCACACACAGGGAACTACATTGTCTATGAACACGTTACAGGAAGCATCAGTCAGCATCTCACATCTCTGTAAGATGGTTAACATCCCAAAATAATACCTATTTTTGTCAAAACAGGTGGTGGTTTTCTTGTACTCCACTGCCTTCCTGTCTGTGAGGTGCTGCTGTCAACCCTCCCTAAGGTGCCTTGGTCTGTTGTTCAATCCTCCAAGTCACCTGCAGACCTCATGGTTCTTTCATCACAAAAACTGATAAGCACTCACTGATAACCAGCTGTTTTCACCTTTCAGGCAGTTGTTCTCAACCTGGGCAGTTCAGGCTCCATGGGGATATTTGTCTGTACACCTTGAAGTTACAGTTCATGTGGAGAAGGAAGTATGACTGGCATCCAGAGAGTAGAGATCAGAAAGGTTACAAACCATCCTAAAATGCACAATTCAGCCTCCAGCAATGAATTATCCAACCCAAATTGTCAATAATGCCAATGTTTAGAAAGTGCTAGAAAACAGTGCCTATGATCAGGGTACAGAAAGTGCCAGGTAATAGGGAGTAGGGTGGGACATGGCCTGTGCCTTCCATGCCTTTCTATCTCTCCATTCAATGCTCACAGGTGACCATAGCCATGTACAAAGTCATGCCTAAGTAATAAGGCAGATATTCTGTCTGGATACATGCTTTGGTTTGTTTTTCTTCTTAGTAAGCACTTAAGAGAGCATTTATCTGACTTTTTATACAATCCCAATTTCTGGCATTGCTGGGTTTTACTTGCATATGCACAAGGGAAACATGTTTATGATTTCTAAAAATATCGCTGCACCGTATAATTACCACTGATAATGTTATCTTGTGAAAACATAATCCAAATTCGCATGGTCATCTGGTATAAAGTTAAGTGTATAGAGTTCTAGCAGTGGATTAGCTGTTCTTATTGTTTTAAAAACAACTGTGGGTCAGGGAAACAAATAACTTTGTTCATTTTAATGCCAACAGTTAAACAAACAGAGAGGTAGCCTTAGTTTCACGCTGTCAAATCCAGCCTTTAAGAGGACTCCCACCAGTTTTCAGTAATTACTGACCGTGGCCTTTTTCAGGCCTGTGATCTCACTGTCTCACTCTCTTCGAGAATTCAAACGATTGTTTTGGGGCAGGTGAATCTCAGATTCATAACTCAAGATTCAATCTTGTTCCCCATTTCTGATGCCTCATGTATAAACATCTCTCAGATATCTGTACCTTCAGTATCTTGCCAAGTCTCAGGGAAAATTCAGCTCTTCATCAACCTTCCCTAACCCAGCTCCCCTTCCTACTTGAGGCTTTTTCTACCAGCATCTGCTCTCCCAGTGAGCCACAGCTAGAAAAGCTATAGGTGTTTTAGTGTAAAGGAGTTTATACCTTTTGTCCTTTTCCTACTTTCAAATCCATGTCCAGGTTCTGACGATTAAACCACTATGCTTTTTTGATATTGCTTCCCTCCTTTGAATTCCCCAATGCCACCACCCTTCTCCAGGCCTGCTTTCAGCTCTCCTCGAAGGATGGGAGAGACAGGAGCCTTCAATCCTAGTTGATATTTCACCTCCCTTTCTGTCTAGGAGGAATCATCCCACATAAAGTGTTTGAGGTCTGACTTCTTTCTCAGACAGACAACTGTATGTTTCTGACCTAGGAATCTTCGGATGCAAAACAAGACCACCTTTGCTGGCTCTGCCCTATATCTCTAATCCTTCCT